ATGATTGCTAAATTGTACCCTCACTGTCCTTAAAAATTATGAGAGGGAGGGAGGGAGAGGGAGGGAGAATGAATGAGAGAATTTTCACCACCAGATGTGAATATGTCCCTATTTCTAAGGAAAGAATCTGCCCATCCAGTTCTTTCTCGCCTGCGGAGGTCAGTGCGCCTGGTGAGCACATGAGGCAGAGTGTGTCCTTCGGAGCAGCTGTGGTCAGACCAAAGGGAGAAACTGTGCGTGACATGTGGGACAGCCAGAACAGCCAGAGCTTGTAGCCAAGGGAAGGAGCCCTGTGGGAAGAGCCAGAACAAGGAGGTGGCTAGAAAGAGGCCCAGACAGTGGCCACAGGGCCTGAGGCCTCCTTTTAGTATCTAGGGCCTCATCCTCTCTGGCAGGCTTCCCTGTAAAGGGCCAGATGTAAATGTTAGCAGCTTTGCAGACCATATAGTCTCTGTCACTGTGCCCCAAGGCAGCCAGAGACAGTAGGTAAACCTACTGATAGGTGCCAATAAACTACTTATGGACATAGAAATGTGAAGCTCATCTAATTTTTATGTGTGTCCCAAAATATCTTCCTTTTGATTTTTTTTTCCAACCACTTAAAAATGTGAGAACCATTCTTAAGCTGCAGGCAGGTGGCTTTGGTCCACAGCTGGAGTTTGCAGGCCTCTGGCTCAGGGGCTGGGTTGGTCTGACAGGACCCCAGTGAATAGTTTTTTCATTGTAAGATTTTAGAAATTGTAATAAGATTGTTTGGCATGAGGGCTAGTACATAAAATATAATTAGATGCTTAATTCAATGGCAAAGAATGGAAAGTTTGGGATTAATCCATATGAGGACTATAAGCACTCCCCCCTTCCCAAGTTATTTTCTCTAATACTCAAAGGATGCTAAAATAAATTTATTTCCAGTAGTGACAAGAGTCTTACAGCACATCGCAGTATTTTATTTATATCAGGCCCTCACGGTAGCCTGTGTGAGTAGGTGGGACAGGCATTGGCCCTGTTTTACAGAGGAAGAAAACTCACGCCTACAGGGCTAGTGTCAGAAACGCAGGGTGACAGCGCTCCTGAAGACGGAGCCAGGATCCACGTCCAGATCTGCCGCCCGCACGTACTGCTTTTGTTTTCACTTCTCCAAAGGTGGTCCTTCGGAAGAATTGTGTTCTGAAATATCATTTATAAGTCACTTGGAACATGCAGCTTTTCTCTTTGGAGAAAGAAAAAAGTGATTAGGTTCCCAGGTTATCCACAAAGGACTGTTCTAGCTGGAATGTAGCAGAACTGGACATCATGCTACTCCCGGGCTGTAGCATGAGTTCGGGGTCCTGGGGGTTGTGGAAAGTAGGAAGGAGTAAGTAAAAATAATTCTTCTTGCTCATGAGTGGCCACAGGCCAAATTCCCACGTGGTCAGTGACGTCTGAGGACCAGCCTGCCTTCTGAGCCGCCTCTCTTGTGTCTGGCCACGCAGGCTCCCAGACTTGCCCCATCCCTCTTGTAAAACTCCTAGGCTGGTGGCTCTCAGCCTTGTCTGTTAGTATCTTTGGAGGAGCTTTTAAAAAACACTAATAGCTGTGCTCCACCCGCAGAGATAATTAATTGGACTGAGGTGGGGCTGGGCATTGGTTGGTTTTAAAAGTTTCCCAGGTGATTCAAATGTGCCGTCACCTTTGAGAAGCATTGTGGCTAAACCCAAGCCGGTCTTCTGGTGTAGGTGAGGTCAATTAATGTTAGGAAGGCTGCTGAGGACGCGATTTCATGTGGCTCTGGTCTCCCACGTGCGGTGTGAGCATTTGGTTCTCAAGCCTGGAAAACGGACCTGGTCAGTATGTTGGTCTTAGCTCTGGGATCACAGCTGCCCGCCACCGGACGGTGGTGTCGGGGGAGTGAGGCTGCACGGGGTGTCCATAAAGAAGGCGCGGAGCCGACGTTGGAGGAACAGTTCCTTCCTTTGTTGGGTACAGCGCTGGTTACGTGACCGCAGCGGCAGTGCACTGTCGCCTGCGCAGGGACACCCCTGAATCATCAGCACATCAGGCTAAGCCGCGTGCGCAGGTACATCGTGCGGAATCACATGAGGTCACCATCGTGCGCACTCGCAGGGCGGTCGGGGTCATGGACCAGACACCGAGATCTGCAGGCCCTGCAGGCCCCACAGGCCCTCCCTGACTCACACCCAATACGTGGTTTCTGGTCTAGAGCCCCATTTCTCAGTCGATAGTGAAGAGTCAGTTTTCTTTTGTTTTTAAGAATTCTAATCTGTCACTTTATAAAACAATAAAAACAAATTACTAGAAAGAGGAAAGGGAAAGATATGCAAAATATATACTCAGCTTTTTATAATTAGCTTTAATAGATATAAAACGACTCTCGTTGCTCTAGAAGTGTCCCGGCTTCTGTCCGGACCTCAGCGCAGACCAGCAGCAGGCAGTGTGACGGGAGCCCGGGCCCTGTGCTCGGGAGCGCTGGGCTGGCTGTGGGACCTGCACCTTCTTGCCGGTCTGCTTGCCCTCTGTGAGGACAGACGCTTTCACTTTTCTCTGCTTTTGCCCCAGGTTTCCTCTGCTTTCTTATAGTCCCTGCCTTCAAGACCCAGTGAGAATGTCGTATTCTGTATAAAGTCTTCTCTGACTCCACCTGGATGATTTAGATAATGTCTTCGTTCAACAATCACCTGTTTCAGCGATTGTCTGCTGCCATCACTACCGGATTTGTGGGGCCCCGTGCACAATGAACATGTGGAGCCCTTGTTTAAAAAATATTAAGAACTTTAGGATTGAGACAGCAAGTTGTCTAAAGCCATGGGTAGGGCTGTTTTTGTTGTTTTGTTTTTAAATNGTGGAGCCCTTGTTTAAAAAATATTAAGAACTTTAGGATTGAGACAGCAAATTGTCTAAAGCCATGGGTAGGGCTGTTTTTGTTTTTTTGTTTTTAAATTTTTTAAAGGTGTACAGTGTGTTACTTTGGTAAGTGTGTGGATTGTGTGATTGCCNTTCAACAATCACCTGTTTCAGCGATTGTCTGCTCCCATCACTACCGGATTTGTGGGGCCCCGTGCACAATGAACATGTGGAGCCCTTGTTTAAAAAATATTAAGAACTTTAGGATTGAGACAGCAAGTTGTCTAAAGCCATGGGTAGGGCTGTTTTTGTTGTTTTGTTTTTAAATAATTTTTTAAAGGTGTACAGTGTGTTACTTTGGTAAGTGTGTGGATTGTGTGATTGCCCTTGTAGTTACATTTACTGCATTAGATAATCCTAGTGCAATTCTGTTGTCGGTACTCATACTGTGCGTTAGATCTGCTGGCTGGCTTGCTGCTTGCCAAGGGCCTGCTGAGAGCGGGGCCCTGTGTGGCTGCGTGGGTTGCAGATGTGCGGAGCTGGCCCTGGTTGTGCCTGTGTGTGCTTTACTGCAGCAGTCCGGACACTGAACTGTAATCATTGTAGTGTGCAGGGGTGGAAAAGGCTCAGCGTCAGAGCTCCTTATAGGCACCCTGGCGTGTGGTTTGGAGCTACTCGGGCAGGGTGGGAGTGAGCTTCCTGAGGAGCATGAGCAAGTTGCCACGGGTTCTCACTAAATGCTCTTAGAAATGAGGGTGCCATTGATAGCAGGGCTCTGGCTACTCTGCAGGGTGGGGTGTGCAAGTTCACGTTCGGCACTGAAACACTTCGTATTGTGGGTAGAGGGGAAGCTGGCTGATAGGTAGGAAAAGGACCCTGCAAGGGGCAGTGCTGGTGGTAGAGATGGAGAGAGAGCAGGAATGATGGGACAGTCCTTGAGCACACTGGACAGTCAGCTATTGGGTGTGTGACATGCATGTGCCCTGTTTCCCCGTGACATCTGCTGTTGGCCAATGCGACGGGCAAAGCTCGGTGAAGGAGCTGCCCCTTTGAAGGACACTTGCATTTCAACAGGAGAGTGCTGGATCCAGAATCAAGATTGCTGCTCTCAGCCACTTTGGTTCACACATGTCAATTTCTTCTATGAGACGACAGTCCCAAGTCAGTGATACCAATACTGATTGAATGGATTAAGCTGGGCCTTAAGCCAGACACCAGTGCCAGTGGTGCCACTCTGGCCAGCATTACAGAATGAATGGAAGACCAGAGCAGCTTAGGGAGTGTTTTTTTATACAGGAGCCCCCTGGGCAAGACGCCCTCTAGTGCCAGGAACTGTAGTGAGAAGTGGGCACAGAAAAGGCACCAAGGAAAATTTGCTTTTGCACTAGACTGACTTCTGCTTGTTTTCTGTCTCCAAGTTTCCTAAACGTCCTGGCTGCGCCCCCACCCCCCAGCTTCTCCGGCTAGCCTCCTCTCATGGCCTTTGGGAGACCAGGATGCTGAATCATGGGCTCCCCTCTGCCAACCCAGAGGTGTCAGGTGCTTTTTCAGGGACTGAAACTTTCCAGCCACCTCCCCTGGTGGGGCTTTCTATCATGACCTCTTGGCCACTCGGACACTTGCTCTTTAGATAATAATTGAGACCTAGAAATTCAGTTCATGAATAGGTGCTGTTTCTAACCCATATACCTCTTTACAGGTATTTGCACCTCAAGCCGGCAGCTGTGACTGGGAGGTGGCTCGCTGGTACTCTTTGAAATAGTTGCTGCTTTGATGTTTAGTCAAATGGCCTAGGAGACCTGCCCCCAGGTCCTCCCAAGTCCCCAGCACCTGAAGGCAGCCTGTCAACCCAGTAGCACTTCCTTCCCCTGGCTGTGCGCCCGCCTTTTCCCTGTCCTGTTAGCACAGTCTCAGTGTGGGACTTTGCGTTTGCCTGTCCCAGAGCGCAGCGCTCAGCTGGACCAGGGGAGTCAGTGGCTAAAGAGACGGCTTCCAAGGATGGGCTTGGTGGAGGGTGGGAGCCTTTTCTGAAGCCCTGGAAAGAGGCCCTCCTTGGAGAGAAATACTGTGGGCCTGCGGCGGAGGAGAAGCCCATCTCTCCGGCCCTCCTGTTCCCCCTGCAGGTGAGCTTCCAGCCTCCCTACCTTTCCTTTTTGCAGGTTGGATTGGCACAGTCTGATCTCTCCCTGGCTAAGACAGCGGCGGTCCGGGCTGCACACCAAGGGCCAGAACTTCATGCTGGAGGATTCCACCTTCTGGATCTTTGGGGGCTCCGTGCACTATTTCCGTGTGCCCAGGGCATACTGGAGGGACCGCCTGCTGAAGATGAAAGCCTGTGGCTTGAACACCCTCACCACGTGAGTGCTGCCCCCATGCCTGTTCCCTGCGGGGCTTCTGGAGTCTGCGTCCGGGCATCCTCGTGGGAGCCCGGGGTCGCCAGGATGGGTGAGCCCTGGCAGACCCTAACTCGGGCAGCCTCTGACAGGAAGACAGCTTCCCTTTTCCTAATCCCTGCAGCACTCCCCATCAGTGGGGATGAGGGATGGGGGTAAGTAAGGTCTGGGGGCAAGAGAGAGCAATGGTGTGCAGAGGAGGAGAGGATAGGTGTTGGAGATGATTGAATTAGTCATTTTCCAAAACAAGCATTCCACCCCCAACTTATACAGCAGATGAGTGTAATCTTCCTCGAAATAGCTACCTTGGGAAGCTGACGTTAGCATCTTCAGCACTCCTTTTTAGAAGTATCTTCAGAATGCTGTGTTTTCATTCTGGCTCCTCGCACAGTGACTGGGACGGGTTGGCACCCAATGAAATGCTGAATGTGTGAATTAGTTAAAAAATAGGCTCAGTGGTGAACAAATTTTGATCTTTTCATGGATTTATTTTTCAAAATTGCCAACAGATATTTGGATTCAAGTCTAGAAAATAAAGTGGGTTATCAGACTGTATTCTATTTTCAGGCAAAAATGTGATTACAAAGCAAGAACATGGATTTTCTTGGGTAGTTTATGAACTGGCTTTGAAGACAGTTTCTAAAGAGTTATAGGAATACTCTGAGCTATGACAGGGTAGTTGAAATAAATGCGTATGGTTTTCTAGAATCCTTCAAAGGATCCATTTATTTGCAGATGTGGGTTCTGATCCTGGGGGTACAGTCACATGCTGTAACACTCTTGAAGCTTGTAGGAATGTTGCAGGACAACCATTTTGCTTTATAAAAGCAGAGTGGTCTACTTGCTGAAACACAGAACTTCTGGGTCTGAAGCGGAACAAGCCAGCCCCCCTTCCGCTCCACTGTGCACTCACTGAGGGCCCTGCGGGAGCCATGGGCGGGTGGGAGTCCGGGAGAGGAGCAGCTGTTAACTGCTGCCACCAGGTGTAACTCCACGCTCTGCGCTTGGGTTGGGCCCTTAAAGGACTAACTTCACTTCCTCCCCTTCTCTTTGGTTAGAAGCTCCCTCCTGTTAGAGGGCTTGGAGCTGATACTCTAGTAAAGACTAGGACTGATAACCGAGGTGCTCTCTCTCTTACTCTACGTTGAACCATCTTTCCTGTAAAGTTACTTCTTTTTCTTCAATGAAGAGAGAGGGAAGGGGGGGTGGGAAGGGGGAGCACAGCCTGAGCTACCCTGTGGTCATGTCTCAGCATCACCCATGTCTCACATCTTGTTGGCCTCCCTCCCCTAAGGAGGTGAGCTCTGCATCCCCTGGGCCTGGCCCTGGGTTCTCTAAGGCCCCTACCTCTCTTCACTGAGTTCTTGGTTTCAGTTCTGACATCACTAAGACAGTGCGCCCAGAAAATGTATCTTTCAACCATCATAGGGGTTTTAGGGATAAATAAGGGAATCTGGAGAGGAAGTGGAATGAATGAAAAGGTCATGCCTGTCATCTTTCCTGTTCCAGCTACGTTCCGTGGAACCTCCACGAGCCACAGAGAGGCACGTTTGACTTCTCCGAGAACCTGGACCTGGAGTACGTGCTGCTGCTGCATCTGTGACCTGCCTAGGACTGGGGTCCACGAAGGGGGCTGGTGGGGTGATCAGGGGCCATAGTGTATCTCAGTTCTGCTTGGAGAGCCAGGGGGAGCCTGAGGCCCAGAGCCTGTTCTCAGGACATTGACAGGTTGCACCGGGACCAGATGCTCTCCAGCTGTGAACCTGTTACTCTGGGTGATCAGGCCCCCTCGGAGCCCAGCCCTGCTCACTGCAGCCCAGAGGTGCCTCCTCCTGGGTCAGCCCTGCTCTGCAGTGGGGTCTCGCCACCCGTGCTGGGATAGGGGCTGCCCCTCGAGACAGCAAGGCTGTTGGGGTCAGGGTCATTGTGAGGACCCGTCCCCTGTCTCACACCTTTCCCCTCATGACCTTGTGGGCTGTGCAGAGGGTCCTGGTCTAGGAGCCGGTGAGAACCCCGCTGCCAGGGCCTCAGGCCTATGACCAGAGGTGTAGGACTACCTGCTCTGCTGGGGGTCATGCTTGGCCTTCCCTTCACTCAGCCCTGTCTGTGGTTGAGAGGAGGGCAGGGAGCAGAGCATCCGGGCAGTTCTGCCGCCTGCGGTGTGTGCGGGCTGGTCCTACCATGTGTTCGATGTCCTCAGAGTTGCTGACATTGATCTTCCCAGGGCCTTTGTCCGGCTAGCTGCAGAGATTGGGCTGTGGGTGATCCTGCGTCCTGGCCCCTACATCTGCAGTGAGATCGACCTCGGCGGCTTGCCCAGGTGAGCAGGCTTATGTGGGCCTCTGGCCACAGCTTGAGTTGTCCTGTGCGCTTGTGTAAAATGTGAATCACAAACAGGTTTAGTTTTGCTTTTAAAGTGTATTTGTCCATTTTGTATGGAAGTTCCTTTTCAGAATAAGTAGCACCCAAAGGGGGTCATTTTAAATGATGTCATCATTGTCCTTGTCTAATTCCATGTGGTTCTTCTGTGGTGAGTACAGCAGAGGGCAGCTGTCCCCAGGCCTTGCACGTCACCAGGCTGTGAGTTGGGCCCTCAGTCTGGCTGTCTGTCTGCTCTGGATATCACTTTCCAGTCTAGAAAACCGGGAAAATTGCCCACTGGGCGTGGCTCAGCGGTTGAGCATCGACCTAGGATCCAGGTCATCAGGGTTTTATTCTCGGTCAGGGCACATGTCTGGGTTGCGGTCCCCAGTTGGGGGCGTGCAGGAAGCAGCTGATCAGTGACTCTCTCATCACTGATGTTTCTATCTCTCTCTCCCTCTCCTTTCCTTTCTCTGAAATCAATAAAGATATATTTTAAAAAAACCACAACGGTCCGGATAATCAAACCTGCCTGCCTATTTCTTAGGGATGTTACCAGCATTTATTTATTAAAGTCCAAGTATTTTTTTAAAGCATTTTTTAAAAAAATATTTTTTTTGTATTGATTTCAGAGAGAGGAAGGGAGAGGGAGAGATAGAAACATCAATGACGAGAGAGTCATTGATTGGCTGCCTTCTGTGCGCCCCTTACTGGGGATGGAGCCCACAATCCAGGCATGTGCCCTGACTGGGAATCGGAACCGTGAATTCCTGGTTCACACCAGCTGGGCTAAAGTCCAAGTATTTTCATAAAGTATAAAAGAAACAAATTATTGCTTTTGTTTTGTCTCTTATCTTTGAGTTTCAGGGCCTAGTGAGTTATCTTGGGATGTGTAGTGTCCATTGAAGCCCTAGAGTGCTGTGTGGCTGGAGTAGAAATCTGGACAAGAATCACCTGCTACCACATTCACTCATCCTCGTCAGTGAGAATAGGGGTAACCTTCCCCATCCTTACTTTGTTCCAGATGGTTAGGTCTGCTCCTCCCTCACCTGTGCCACCCCAAGGGGGAGGGAGGCTGGTCCTGTTTGCCTGGCTGACTCCAGTGGGACCAGCTTCTCCCCACAGGGCAACCACCAGCCTCCCTCTAGTTATGTTTTGTTTTTCTCTGGTTTCCAGCACTATCCAGCTCTGCCCCAGGGGCACAGGCAAGCTCTGTCTCCATCTCCTTCACTACCCAGGATCACCTCTCTGCCGCTGTGCCACTCAGCTTCAAGAGTGGCCTCAGCAAGGCTGTGCACATAGCCAGAGTGTCCCCACACACCTGGGTTGAGAAATCTGTGTCAGCGAGAAGTCTCTGGCTCAGAGCAGGCACAGGAGGAGGACAGGGTGACGTCTTACTCAGCTCAGAAGCAGCAGCAGCTCCAGCACCGGACCTCCTTGTGCAGCTCCTGTGCATTCAGGCCCGGTCGGTTGCATAGAGGATGAGCACATGGCCGAGCCAGGCAGGCCGAGCGGGAAACGCTGGGAAATGGGCAGCGCCCACGGGGATGAGAAGCTGGTCCTGCTCCACGCGAGGTGGAAAGCGGAGGTGTCAGTGCAGAGGAGACTGCTCTCCCCTCATGCATTTTGATCTAACATTGATAGTTTCTGACCTGTTCAGGACTTTTAAATCACAACCTTTCTAAGTGCCTTTAGTAAGGAAATATGAGTGCTTTCTCAGAATTTCAAATGAGCTCTGGAACTCATGCCCCATGTTCACCTAGGGAATGGGGGCCACACAGGTTGTGGGAAGAGTTAATCTTGCTCCTCCCCTGAGCTGAACCCTGAATAGCTGAAGCAGACGATGCAGATGAGCCAGATCAGCAGATGGGCCAGATCAGCATGAGCTGCAGCTGGACCAGAGCAGGGAGGGGGATTAGCCTGCACAGCCTGTTTCTGGCTTGCTTTCTGGGTGACACTGGAGGCTGCCTTTGTTCTTCAGTCCCAGCCTAACACCTTTGGCTTCACCCTTTATAGAGAGATTGTGGTGTAAATGCTTGAAGACTGGGCCTCGAGTCCAGTGAAAAGCTTTTCTCACTGACTGGCAGCCAGACTTGTAGCCATGAAGCTGGACATAAATTGCCTCCAGGCTGGTGTCCCCCCGTCAGAGGTGCAGGGCTGAGTGCAGGGCTGGGGCTGGGCCACCTGTGCTCCTGAATCCCTTGTAACAATCTGCCTCCCTAGCTGGTGGAGGGAGTGGGGTGGGAGTGTCTCCAGCCTCATCCTGAGCACACTCAAGCGACTTCCTTTTCTCTCCACCATCACCCTCCCCAGAGCCACCCACAAACAGTGGAACTAATTCCCACCACCCCCTTTTTTATTCAAGCTGGCTGCTCCAAGACTCTGGCATGAAGCTGAGAACAACTTACAGGGGCTTCACCGAAGCAGTGGACCTTTATTTTGACCACCTGATGTCCAGGGTGGTGCCCCTCCAGGTAAAAGCAAGCAGACTCGGCTTTGATCTTCACCTGCTTTCCTACAGGCAGTGAATAGCGCAGGTTAGCTCTCAGACAGAGGGGCTCACGGTTCCTTTCAACACAGGAGCAAATGTCTTCCCACAGCCTGAGACCTACAGTTGGAGGGGCCTGCAGTGCTTGTCCTTTAGGCCCGCCTGTTTCAGTGTCTGGGGCGGCAGGTGCTGAACCAGGGACAGGTGTGAGGGCTCGCGTTGCTCCCAGTGCCAGAGCTGCCGCACTAGATGTCCTGGCAACTGAAAAACCCATCAGGGTCCCAGCAGCACAGTGGCTCAGTTCTGTCGAGAGGAGCACGTATGGATGGGCCCTTGCCTGTGAGACAGTAGGACACTTTGTAATTATAAAAGGTATATCCTGCTACCAAAAAGGTGCTGCATAGCACACGTTTATTCAAAACGTGTTAAAATGATTTGGGGGAGAAAGTATCTTAACATTACATGTAATAATCGAAGCAATAAGAAAGCAGGAATAGAAATAATTAACCCAATTGCTTATGCAAAACAGGAGGAGTGATACTGACTAATACAGCTACAAATCAGTGCGTCAGTAAAAGCAGCTCTCGAGTCAGTGGTGTGGAGGAAACACCACGTAGATCAGAGGAACTGTTTGATCATTTGGAGGGTAGGTGAAGAAAACACAGGAACCCAGTTAAGTTTGAATTTTAGATAAACGAATAATTCTTTTTAGTATGAATACGTTCCAAATGTTGCCTGGGAAATACATTTAAAAATATTCAGCCCTGGCCGGATGGCCCAGTTGGTTGGAGCCCTGTCCTGTATACCAAAAGGTTCCGGTTGATTCCTGGCCAGGGCACGCACCTAGGTTGTGGGTTTGATCTCCTCTGTTGGGGCTCTTATGGGAGGCAACCAATCGATGTTTCTTGCTTACATCGATGTTTCTCTCCCTCTCTCTCTAGAATCAATAAAAACATATCTTCAGGTGAAGATAAAAAAAACCATTTATTGTTTATATAAATAATTGTAAATTCAAGTATAACTGCGTGTATTGTATTTTTATTTACTAAATCTGGCAATCCTAAGAATGAAAGAAGCTAGGAAATTATTAGCCTAGGTTTTTGCAAGGAGGTTGGAATTGCTGAGCTGATTCAGCACATTGGGTGGTGGAGGTGGGGGCAGTAGGGAAGGCCATGCCAAGAGTATGGACAGAAGCGTTCTTAAATGTGGAGCTGGTATACAAAATCTAATTTTTTTCTGAGTATAATAATTTTACTGTGGTAAAATATAAAATTTACTATTTTTAACCATTTTTAAGTGTACAGTTCAGTGGCATTAAGTACATTCACATTACTGTGCAAACATCACCACCATTTATTTACAGAACTTTATCTTCCCAAGCTGAAAGTCTGTCCCTATTAAACACTGACACCCTCTGTCCCCTCTCCTTGGGCCCTGGCAACCATCATTTTACTTTCTGTCTCTATGAATTGGACTACTCTAGGGACCTCGTATAAGTAGAATTATTCAGTAGCTGTCCTTTCGTGACTGGCTTCTTTTACTTAGCACTTCTTTTACTTAGTGTCTTCAAGGTTTATCTGTGTTGTAGCATATGTCAGAATTCCTTTTCTTTTTTTAAAAAGACTGAATAATTTTCCATTGACATATACACCACACTTCGTTTCTCGGCCACTCTTGAGTGGGCATTTAGGTTGCTTTTGCCTGTTGTGGACGATGCTCTATGAACGTTGGTGTGCAGACCCCTGTTCAAGTTCCTGTTCTCACTTCTGTTGGATATATGTTCAGGAGTGGTATTTCCAGATTATATAGTCAGTCTGTGTTAAAGTTTTTAAGGAACTGCCATGTGTTTTCCACAGCTGCACCATTTTATATTCCCATGGGAATCCGATTTCTCACTGGTTTTCTGGTTATTTGATAAAAGCCATCCTAATGGACATAAGGTGGGGCCTCATCGTGGTTTTGATTTTAATTCTGTAACGATTAGTGACGTGGAGAATTTTTTCATCTTCTTACTGGCCATTTGTATATCTTCTTTAGAGAAATGTCTATTCAGATTCTTTGCCCATTTATTAAGATATTTCTTTTTTTAAATTGATTTGGGAGAGAGACTTGTTTCACTTATTTATGCATTCATTGGTTGATTCTTTTTTTTCTTTGCTTTGTTTTATTTTTTCCCATCACCATCTATCCCCCCTACACCCCCTCCATCCCCCCCACAGTCACCATGCTGTTGTCCGTGTCCTGAGTTCTTTCCCTTTTTTTCTTTTTGCTCAA